GGCTTCTGATGCAAGTTCGTGGAGATGTCGGGGGGTGTTGGAGATGTGACTGGGGTTTGTAGATCAGGATTCAGGCGTCTGGTCATTTATCAATCGAATAACCAAGGGATGACAGACGACACTAGAGAGGACAAGGACAGAAGAGGGGTCGGGGGATGACGGGGGACGACGACGGACGACGGGGAAGGGAGACACTGCAGAAGGCAGGCAGGTGCTGTGGGGGATGAGGTGATGCAGGTGCAAGTCAGTGGCTGAAAAGGAAGCTAAACGGAAAGAGCCCCCTCAGTGTATCTGGGCAGGTGCAGTACTGCTGACGTTGTGGTGACTTCCTTCCGCCTGGGCTTGGTGCAGGAACGGACGGCGACGTGGACGGGAAGTCGCGTCCGGCCGGCGTTGGCGCGTCTGCAGGTCGCAATTTAGCTCCTTCGCGCTGCAGTTTCTCCCCAGCTTAATTGGCACGGGCAGGCCCTTTCCACTGCCACTTCCACCTCCCCAGCCCACTTTCACCTCGGCAGGTGGTGCGAAAGCCACACCACAATCACAGCAGCAGCGAACAGCAGCCACAACCCTGCCTCTTGCTGTGATTGGTTCGGGAGCTTGGGCCAGTTGCACCCGTGCGGATCTCAGGGAAGGTACCCACTACCCATTCTAGCAAGACGTACCTATCCGGCGTACCTTCAGTCCTTCCCAGATCTCTCACGGCTCCCACCTCCTTCTCTCCCCCAAAGGAGTCACGTGCTCGTATCGGCCGGCCCGGAACGGCAAGGTCGCCCAAGTCCGTGACATGGTCGTGAACCTACCTCTCCTCCTCCCCTTTTCAACGGCTGTCAAGCAATTCCGTCATTCTCTGATGTCGCGCCTTGCCCGTTGAGAGGCGTTGAAAGAAGCTCAGCAATCTGAAGGCTGATACAATACGGATCGCGCTCGGTCGACCTTGCTGCTGTTGTCGTGCATGCTGCAAGGCACATACATGGGTCCCGACCCGTAACACCAAGCTTGGAACACCACCACACTAGGAACGCAGCAGGACCCGGGTACCTCGTACCTCCACTTCACTCCTCGTCCTGATGCTCTTCCTCTTCACCACCAGCACTACCACTACTCCCACAACCACCATTTGAGTACCACCTCGCGCTGTCGCGCATGCCATGCAGCCCGGCAGTATGAGAAGACGCCACAAGCTTGGGGATCAGATACCTTGGATCACCTCAGAGTCCAAGCGCCAAAACATTCCTTGAGACACACAAACATTCCGTCATTCGCGGATCGACCAGGAACACCTTCGTTCCTCATCCTCTCCAACGTCCAGCCCTCTCACCACGCCCAAATGCCAGTGCCATGAACGGCGACTCCCCAGGGACAGACTCGCCCTCTCTCAAGGCGGAGGTCACCCGCCTCGAAAATGGAAATGGGAACGCGAACGGCGGGAAGCAGAAGACGGCGTCTGGCGTGCGCGGCACTCGCATCGGCCACAAGAAGTCGCGGAACGGCTGCCAGCAGTGTAAGAAGCGCCGAGTCAAGGTCAGTTCATGAGTGGGACCGGGGTCGGTCGGAGCCTTACCAAGGTCGAAGGATGCCAAGTCCCGACACTAGATGGCCCAATTGCTTGTGAATGAGAGCTAACGGTTCTCAGTGCGACGAAGCCCGCCCGTGTCGGAACTGCGTCCGGCACGATGTCAAGTGCAGTCTGGTCCTAACCCCCTTTGCCCCGCAGCTTCCCGCTGTCACCGAGTCGCCCAAGCCGGCCCCGGAGGCGGCGAGCACTGCGACCCCCGGCAGCGTCGGTGAGGCTTCAACGAGCAGTCGCCCGGCCAGTCGGCGGGACAGGAACTCGCCTCAGCTATTATCATTGAAGGAGAAGCTTGCTGCCATGCAGGGGCTCCTGTCCGAGTTCTCGGCCGAGATGGATGCGCTCAACCATCAGGGGGTGAACGGAAACTCGAGCGAGACCTTTTCGGAATCGACGCGAGGAGACTCTGGGGACTCTCAGGGGGTTCCTCAGGCAGATTGGCTCACTGACATGCAGCTGGTTCACCACTTCACGTCTAATACGGCACACACCCTGTCAGAGAATCCGGACTTCATCCACTTGTGGACAGCCACTGTGCCGCAGATTGCGTTCGCCAACGTAAGTCGACTTCATGACCTTTTTCTTTGCCTGCTGACTCGGGCAGGACTTTCTCCTTCACGGCATCCTCGCCGTATCGGCCATCCACCTTTCACACCTCAACCCTGAGAAGAGGGACGAGTACACAACCATCTCCACACGGCACCAGAACATCGCCCTCAGCAAATTCTCTCCCGGCTTGAACGATATTGGCGAAAACAACGCGGACGCCTACGTCCTCCACGCCATCTGCATCTTTCTCTTAAACACATACTCAATAGCACACCCTCATGGCCCCATTACATCCAAGGACGTGGCTCAGTCTTTCATCTTGCTGCAGGGTGAGGTTTCATCCGTATGATTTCAAAGGGAAGCTAACAGGCGTAGGCATCAAAAGTATTCTCACACTACCTTTCGCTCATCGCTACATCTCCAACGGACCACTAGCACGATGGCTTTATCAGGGCGGCGTCGAGCCGGCCGTGGGTGGAAACTACGCCACCAAGATCGACGACCTCCTCAACCTTACCCGAAGCATGGCTCCGTCCGAAGATACGTCGATGTGCCAATCCGCCCTCGAAGGCCTCAAGCTCACCTTTGCCGCCGTCTCAACGCCGTCCCACCGATCCGGCCTCGTCTGGCGATGGGCAGTCTCGCTTCCCCAGTCCTTCCTCGAACTCATGAGCCAGAACCACCCCATGGCTCTCGTTATTCTCATGTACTACGCCGCATTGGTCCACGCCTTTGAGCGAAAGCTATGGTATCTCAATGGATGGGGCGTGAATGTTGCTTCCGCCCTGGACAAGGCGATCCAGGAGCCGTGGAGAGAGTGGATTCAATGGCCGTTGCGGTGTGTCCGTGACGGCGTTGACATCAGGCAAGTCGAGCCTAACCCGCCGCCAGACAGAACACCCAAGCCACTGTCGCCCAGCATCATGCCTCCTTTGTTCAAGATGGATCTATTCAGACTGGGCGAGCCTCCACCATGAACAGCCATAGCCTTGAGCCGATCGGTCCAGAGCTCGCTGCGGGCTTCGCAAGACCGGAAACGCTCATGTATAACACCTTGAAATTTACATCGACAGCGGCTAAGACGAACCCAGTTGACGAGAGATCAACGAGCGCCACGAGTTGACGCGCTTTGAGCATGCCGGACGGGCCAAGAGAACTGCTGACTCGGAAACCCCGAGAAAACACAGCAAGCAGCGTGCCCGACACGGCCTTGTCGATGTGGGCATGGGCCTCGAGTGGTCCCGGGGCAGATCCGGGCTGCTGCCCAGTGGAAACTGATATCGGCTCGAGCGCCGAAGACATCGCGCCTCCGACACTTGTTGAGAGCCAATCGTCACATCAGAAACGCCAACGTGCCGCCCCGTACTTGGGTCCATTCACCAAACATAGGACGCCTTATACCACCGGAGCCTAGTGTATTGCTGGAGCTTTGTCGCACATTCGTGTACATAACCATATATACATTGGACATATGATCATCGAATAATTATATCGTTGATACCAGATTTCGTGCAGGAGCGCAGGCGCGGCCTTCAGAGGCGTCGTGGTGTCTCGATGAATGAGGACCTTGTCTGGGTGCACTCAGATCTTCAAGTGCGCCGGCCAACAACAACTGGGCTGCGAATTAAGTAAAAAGTAAAAAGAACAGAAAAAAAGGCGCAACGCGACCGACAAGAATCAACGACTAATTAATACTGGTCAGAAATGTCAAAAAGCAAAACAATGTCCTCGGAGAGGCTCGAACTCTCGACCTTTGGATATCTCTGTCTGTGACAGGGTCATAATGAATAATATGAGACCAACGCTCTACCGACTGAGCCACGAAGACTGTGTTGAAGAAAAAAGTCAAGTTTGTGGACTATGTCCCTTGCAGCGCGTGTTGACCAATCAGAAGTCTCGTTCGCCCGGGCGCCCCACACCCAGTCCACTCGGCCCCCTCCGCGGTTCCATCCCGCACTTTGAATCCTCCCGACCGCCATCCATATGGAACCTCACTGACAACACCCACGATCCTCACTCACAACACCGAGGGCCCTTAATCTCAGCACCACCGCACCCTCTTCACCACTCTGTCTGCAAGGCCCACGACGACACTTACGCGTTTGACAGGACCCCCGACCCCCATCACCCAAAACTATGTGCTTCTCTTCATCATCAACGTCTGCCACCACCACCGCCATCACCCCTCCTCATCCACAAACCCTTCCCTTCGCCCTTTGTTTCCCGCGCACCTTACCTTACTCCAGCCCCTCGAGCTAGAACCCCAAAGGGCCGCCTACGCACTTACCACATGAAACAAACCTTGCACGCAGCACCCACCAGCAACATGGGATGATATCTCGCTCGCCTGCTCCAAGCCTAATGAACCCCTGTCCCGCAGCCCCTCATCCAGTCTCCTTCTCTGCTCCGTCCCGTGTGCGCCTCCACGAGTGTCGCCCCCGCGCCTAGGCCTCCGTACGCAAAATGCGCCTCGTTGATTATGAGCAATGAGCACGGGAGGGCATTGTCTTTTCCCGGACACACGCCCCATTGGACGAAATTCAAAAACGAATCACCCACCAGAGTATTTCCCGGTTTTCTTCGTAAGGCCAGACCCAGCGACGCCCAGAACCCAGACCTTAGACCCCTCGCCGCCGCACACCATCTTTCCCACAGATTTCGCTTCGACGCCCTCTTGACTCCGACCCAGGCCTCTCGTCCCTCCCTTCCCCAGGCCACATCCATGATGACGCTCCAAGACTGTCCAAACTCCCTCCCATAGCACCGCCCGTAGTCCGTAGACCAAAACGTATATCATCACCCTCAAGCCTCACCTCGCCTCTCCCCCTCTACTCTCCTCTCCTCCCTCCATACCCATCAACCACCTCATGATACCTTCAAAATGCCTTCCTACCAAGAAGACGACCTCCAGTCAATAGGCCCCGCGCCCTCCTACACCTCCCGCACATCCACCCTCCGCCGCCGCCTCAAGAACCCCTTCCACCGCTCCTCCTCCTACCCAAAACCTCCCGGCCGCGGCGTCTCCCACCACGTCCACCGCGTCACCACAACCCTCGGCCACCCCATCAACCGCGCCGCCCACCTCCTCGGCGCCGAGGGCTTCATGCCCTCCACCATGCCCAACGAGTGCGCCAAAACCGCCCGCATCCTGCACGCCTTCACCGACGACCCCTCCCCGCCCCCGTCCGCCCGCGGCGGCCAGCCCCTCCACCCCCTCGGCCTCTCCACAAAGTCCCTCGTCTCCATCCCCCCCAAGATCCTCGCCTCCTGCGCCGGCCTCGCCATCTTCAACACCCTCCGCGCCGGCGCCTACATGGGCTCCCTCTCCGCCGGCTCCGGCCTCGTCGTCGCCCGCCGCCCCGACGGTTCCTGGTCCCCGCCCTCCTCCTTCGTCATCTCCACCCTCGGCGCGGGCTTCATGATCGGCCTCGACATCTACGACTGCGTCCTCGTCCTCTCCACCGCAGCCCAGGTCGCAGCCTTCACCCACCCGCGCGTCTCCCTCGGCGCAGAGTCCTCCGTCGCCATCGGGCCCCTCGGCACCGGCGGCGCCGTCGAGGCTGCCCTCTCCAAGACCTCGCGGCCCATGTTCTCCTACATCAAGTCCCGCGGCTTCTGGGCCGGCGTGCAGGTCGAGGGGACCATCATCCTCGCGCGGCAGGACTGCAACGCCGTCGCGTACCAGGACCGCCGCACCTCCGCGAAGAAGATCCTCGCCTGCCAGGCCGAGTGGCCCGAGGGCTCGCAGCCGCTGTGGCACGCGCTGATGGCCATGGACGGGTACTACTCTGCCGTGATGGACGCGGACATCGCGCGGGAGGTGGCGCTGCTGGGTCCGCCTGGCGACGGGGAGGTGCCGCAGGGGTATGCGAGCCCGCCGCCCGACGTGGAGGACGACACGCCCGCGCCGGCGTACTCGCCGTCCGTGGCGTCGGCGTGGCGGTACGGGAGCGAGGAGGGCGTGACGGAGGCGCCGCTGCCGCCGCTACCACAGCTGCCACCACCGCCGCCGCCACCGCCGGTGCCGGTGCCGGTGCCAGTGTACGACAAAGACAGGTTGCGAAGGCTGGTGCAATGATAAACAAAAAGTCTAATCCGTGAATATCTTCATTCTGGGCAAAAAGGAGTTCGTTTCATTCGGGGCGGGGTGTTAGACTGTACCTTTCCATAGCGGCAATACCAAATTTCATCAAATTCGCAATCTCAAGATTCCCATCTTCCGCATGAGCTGGGGAAACCCAAACATTCGCCTTCGTCCCCCAGGGCCCATCCCTGAGCCGAAACAGCCGCAGCTCACCCTCTCGGTAAGCACCCATATCCTCAAATCATGCGTTTTGCCGTGGGGCGAAGTTAGAGTTCGTCTCTTTCCGCGTGGCCAACGTTGCCGAGACCGGGGATTGTGCAAGCTCTGGATGCGGGCCCAGGGTCAATTCTGCCCGGCCTAGACCCGTGGTTAGTTTTCGGGGTTGAGGGGTATTAGTAAGTGATGGTTTGGGGGGTGGGTCGGAAGTATGCAAGTGTTTTGGTGATGATGGTTTGGCTGGTGACTAAATGGCCGGTTGTGGTTGACATTGTTCGTTCTTATCATAGACCTGCTTGGTGATTGGAGGGAGTTATTGCTCTGCAAGCAAAGACAGTGACAGCTTGTCCGCGTCCCTTTCGTCTTCGATGACCGGAGTGCTGGTTGTCCTCTCCTGGGCCACCGACGGACTCTAGCTACTGTGGCGATCCTTCCCCGTACTGGAAGGCAGAGAGCCCTTTCGACATGTCTATGAGAGTGAATAGTCGTGGCTTGGGAGGTTCGTGCCGCAAGCAGGAGAGTGGGTCGGGAGGCTTGTGTTTGTATCTGTCCCTGTCATCTCGTGCGTGCATCTACGCCAGAGTTCGAAGGTCAGTTCGCAGGGCTCTGTCGTGATCGAGGCTGTTCCGCCGAGTAGCGCAAACATGCCTGGAAAGGGTTTTCGGTTGCCTCTCAGTCCTTCCCAAGCTGGTTGTTGCTGTACACTTTCAAAAGGCCACGTCTGCATCACTGTCATGCATGATGCGGGCTGTCATCAGACTTGCTTGCTATTATCTCTATCGTAGCTGTCTGTCTCCGCCGTCGTCCGGCTTCGTCCGCCCTCGCCCGCCCTCGTCCTCGTTCGTCTCTATCTATGCCAGTCATACACGTGAAACTCTTACAAGTACAAGCCCTCGGGCTCGCTCTCCTGCTTAGTGCGCAGGACTCTCTCCCTGGCAGACCGGAAGTCCGCCATCTGCACACGCATACGGCGCTCGCGCAGAGCGAGCAGACCGGCCTCGGAGCAAATGGCCTTGATGTCGGCACCGGAGAGATCGTCCTTCTGCGAGATAAACTCCTCGAGGTCGACGTCATCGTTGAGCGACATCTTGGACGTGTGCAGCGTGAAAATCTTGCGCTTGGTGTTCTGGTCGGGGTTCTCGAAGAGAATCTTTCGGTCGATACGTCCGGGACGGATCAGGGCAGGGTCGAGCGTCTCGATCTTGTTGGTAGCCATGATGACCTTGACGTCGCCACGGTCGTCGAAACCGTCGAGCTGGTTCAGAAGCTCCAGCATGGTTCTCTGGACTTCACGCTCACCTCCAGATGTCGAGTCGTAACGCTTCGTGCCAATAGCATCGATCTCGTCAATGAAGACGATGGAGGGGGCGTTCTCGCCGGCAACCTAGTGATGTTAGTAATATGACAGTAGCAGATAGTGATTGTGCATACCTGGAAGAGTTGGCGAACGAGACGGGGACCGTCACCGAGATACTTCTGGATGAGCTCACTTCCGACTATACGCAGGAAGGTGGCCGAAGTCTGGTTGGCAACTGCCTTGGCGAGGAGGGTTTTTCCGGTACCGGGAGCACCGTAGAGAATGACACCCTTGGGCGGCTTGATACCCATCTCCTCGTAGAGCTCGGGGTGCAGTAAGGGCAACTCGACCGACTCTCTGACTTCCTGGATCTGTGTCTCCAGACCACCAATGTCGGCATATGACTCTGTGGGTGCCTTGTCCAGCTTCATGACGCTGACGAGAGGATCGGCGTCGTCGGTCAAGACACCAACGATGCTGACGCTCTTATGGTGAAGCAGCACACTGGCACCAGGCTCGAGCAGATCCTTGTCGACGAAGCTCATGATGCTAACATAGTACTCGGGACCAGTAGTACTGCTCACGATGGCGTGGTCGTCATCAATCATCTCCTCGAGCGTGCCGACACCCATTGGGCTACCACGCATGTCATCGACCCGACCACGCTCATCGGCGAGACGGTCGACATCGCCCTCGGGGCCGACGGCAGCTCCTTCCTTAGCCGCCTTGGCCTTGCGGAGGCGCTCCTGGTTCTCGACGTACTCCTCCTCGAGGATGAGATGGTCGTGGATTCGTTGCATTCGCAGCAGGCGGAGCTTGCATCTGCTCGTAGGGAAGACGGCCGGGAGCTTGGCCGCAGCGCTGGTGCCGGCAGCCTTTCTCTTCTTGCGGCCGACTCTGGTGGTAGGGCGTGGAGGAGGCTCGTACTTGGGCTTCTCCTTCTGTAGAAGTGCTAGTTAGATATTGATGCTTTAAGAGGGTTGTTTGAGATCAGTTCGATGGGTTAGCTGCGTCTGCGTACCTTCTTGTCCTTGTCGTCCTTGCCGTCGCCTCCCCCGCCCATTCCACTCTGGTTCTGTCCCATGGCGTCTCTCTAGCCGTCGTCCGTCGTCTCTGTAGCTTGTGTGTGTGTGTGTCGTGTGTGAATAAACAGCAAAAATTGGACAGCGTGGTGGTGGTGGAAGCTTGTGATGATGATGGAGTTGGGTGGATGCGAGCGACCAGGCCAGGGTAGAGGTCGACGAGGTGCGAGGCTGCTACTGCTTGCGTCTTGCGTAGGTAAGCACGTTGGTGGCCGTACCTGCCTCGTACCTTGAGCACAGACCCTCTGCGGCAGGCGCCAGAGGAACGCGCAGCCCGCTTCCACAGCACCTTCCTCCCTCGGGCTATCCCTCTTCCGGAAAGGACGCTCTGGAGTCACGTGCTATCCCATACTGATTAGTCATCTCCAAGGTTAGAGGCAGGTGCGACCCGATGCTCCGTCCCTCGGCGCCGGCTTCTCCACTTTTAGGGCGGCCGGCACCCAGAACGCTGAAGCTGAACCAGGCTTACTCTACTATGTAGACCTGCCCATTTATCTCAATTCTCATACCCTGTGGTGCTTATTCAACAGGCCTGAGAGCTGCTAACTCTTGTGACTCATCCTCGTCATTCTTTCTGTCCTCATAGTCCTTGGTCTTGTCGTCCATCATCGTCGTCCGTTGCCGTCGTCCCTCTTCGTCCTCGTCGCTGTCCTTGTCGCTCTTGTTGTCCTTCCTCTTGTCGTCCGTCATTGTCTTTTATGGTCTCCTCTATATGCACTTCCCCCTGCTACCTGCCCTTCCCTTTGTCAACCTCACCCTCTACTTACTTCATCACCTACCCATTTCTCCTTTTACTTACCTCTTCCTTACCTACCTCGATCTTATCTCCTCGCCAATATCTACGCAGAATTATGACGGCACGCTATTTACTCCAAAAAGCCTATGCACGCTTTGTACATCACTTGCAACATCCCATCTGACGCTGGAGCCCGCCATCTAAGCCGGCCTGCCCGGTTCTGAACCTTTCGGTAACTCCGTGCTTGCCATCGCGGTTCAGCATTCTTGCATCTGGGCAACTAACCCAGCAAATCATTTGGTGCCTCAACTCCCGGAGCCTTGTCACTGGAGCGTCGATGAGCTCGCGTGACGTCGAAGGGGTGGACAAATGAAGCATTTGCTTTCCCTCAAGGTAACGGAAGAAAGATCCACAAGAGTCACGCGGTAAAGGTTTCGTGAGCTGACCGTAATACTCTCAAATCTCGAATGATATCCAGCACCCCTTTAGCCAGAACTTCAAATTAGTTGAGAATAAAAGACCGTCTGTGTATCATACCTTACTTCTTCTCACTTTTCACATTGCACTGGTCCTCGTTACTCACAACACCATGTCTCGTCAAGGTTATCGAACCGCACAATGGGAAGGACAACCCCCTCCGATTGAGCAGCGCCCGTGGTGGAACGTCCGACATCCAACTGCAGAGAAGTCCCCCCACGGTCACGATAAAGACACCCCCTTCCCGTGGATGATTTCCTCCAACCATGTGGCCCCAGGCTTCGATCACCCATCCAAGCAGGAGAACTCGCCGTGGTGTCTGCTTCTCAGATTCATGCTGATGGACCTTCCACATCAGATTATGCATGATGTAAGCCTTCAGTCGTGGGCCGAGCATCCCGTCCCACAAAATAAAGCAGCTCTCCAACGCCCTTCTGATATTGCTCCCTATGGCAAACAACAGCAGAGATGGAGCCGCCGGTTTCTATCTTCACCACCAGCCTCCTGCCAATCTCACGAAAGCGACGGGAAATGGCTGGTTGTTGCTTATCTCTGGGGGGAGAGCAAGGAGTGGCTAGAAACCGTGGATATAGGGCAACTCGTAGCGTCTTCGCATTGTGTTTGGTAAGAAAATGCAAGTTCCAACGGTGAAAAAGGTTGACTGACATTTCCAGCCAAAAGTTTCATGAAAGGTTGCTTGACTCCCACTCAGGTACCAAACATTGTCAGGATTGGTATAAGATGTCTGAATATCGGCGCATATCGGCTGGACATTCGATCACGCTAGTCGATCTCCTGCGTACAAAACCAAAGTCTTACGCGGAGAAGAGGGAACGGGTCGTCACAGAGCCTAGCATTTTCTCCGATCAACTCAAAGCGTACATTAACGCATTCAACGACATTCTGGATAGCGGCGGAAGGCAAAAGCGTAGTTCAACCGCCTAAAGCTACCTGAAAAAGAAGCCGAAGTACATGCTGAGGCTGTGTGTCAAGGTAAGATCCCTCATAAAAGGAAAGTTGAGGGACATATAGAAGCCGTTAGTCCTAATTAAGCATGATCTGAAAAGCGCGTTAAGGGAGATATTCTCAGTTTCACGTTTGCGATTGGGGTCACTCCGAGACATCAGCCAGTCATGTACAACGATGAACTCTTGTGGTGGCTTCGCAAGGCTGATGTTGGTGGGATTTATCAAAGCTTCAATTATGCTACGAGGTATGTAGTACGCGTAAAAGCGCTACTCGAAGGGCTGGCAAAGGCATCGCAAGACCATTAGCAAAGTCTCGTAGATCCAGTGATTCGTGAACAATCTCAAAAAATTGTTTGCTACTTTCTTACAGATTCGTACCTTATGCTACGATTGCTGGGCGAATCTGGGTCTACAGCCCCTTCATACGTTACCACTCCATTCTGGTTGATATTGGGTCATGCCTCTGAAAACTACTAAGTACATCTACTCGCTGAAGTTCTCTTTTAAGTTGCAATAAGAAGTCTCGTATTATCAAAGCTGATAGATTGAAGTAAACAATCTACAAGGTTGTCGGCTACATTACTGCACAGGTTCCACCTCTGGCCTTAGGTTGGCTTTCAAGCTTCTCAACAACGACGGCCTCGTCTTCAAAAAACTCTTTCATATGAGCTTCATCGGCTGTCGGAGCGATGGCCTCATCCTCAGAAGACTCATTGACAGGAGCCTCATCAACTATCACATATGACGGGTCTCTCGCACACGGACACGATCCCGGCCGCTGTCGCTTCTCATTAAGAACCTGGGATTCATTAAACCTCAACTGCCTGAGGTTTGGATGTATTGATGCAAGGTTTCCCGTCAATGTCGCCGTCGTAAAGGCCCCGTAATCTTCGTCATCAACTGGCTCATCGACAACATCACGCAACTTGCCATCTTTAGATACCTTCTTCTGATAGACCAAGTCCCAGTGATGAAGTTCTAGGTTGTCTGGGCCCCTTTCTTCGACCAGGTGGTGAACATCGTGCCTGGGACTAAGATTAGCCGAGTTCCCTACATGTCGGATTAGAGATGCGGACGGGAGTGGCTTACCGTATGATTGGGGAGAAGGCTGCCAGGCGTCTGATATCAACGCTGTCTACCCACCCTTGGCTCTCTCCCCATACGTAGGCAGCTATAAGCCAATTACCAACGCATTCAGGATTGCCAACGCAAAACATGCCGTCAGACGTTTGGGGTGCTACGTCTGTGAACACAGTTCGGCGGACCCATTTCTGGTTAGGCTCGTTTGTGGGACTGTTCAGAGGCTGCCGTGTTAACGCTTCTGGCACTAGATGATCCTCCTCGTCGTCCCATGATTGTAAAGCGCCGTCGGTCTTTTCCTGATGCGGGTCAACCAACATTGACACGAGTAAGAGACGCCAAGGTGAGGCCGCTGGTCGGGTCTGGAAGCCCGGGGCGACGTGGAAGGACGAAACTTTCCATTTGAAATGACCCTCTGTGTTCTCTTTGATATCGGAGTCTAAAATGTCCCAGTATGGAAGATGATTTGAGGGAGGAAGACTGCGGCCTTCACCCTCCACGGTCTGAGTTGCTGAACGAGACATGTTGGCGATGAGGATACTGGAGGATAATGTTGAATGAACTTGGGAGGTGCCGAAAGCGACCCGTCACGGCTGCTTAAATATTGAATAACAAGCCACCCGGGTCATGGGGTTACAAAGTTCGCAGCAGACCACAATGGTGGGTTTGAATTTTCAGCCCACACATGGTCTCCGACAGCCTCAACCGTCAACATTTGGCCACACAACCTTGGGGCGAACGGCAATTGAACCAAAGTTAGAATTAAGTGAAAGCCATAAATTCAAGAAGCTCATCAAGGAAATATGCGGGCATCTTGATGAAAACATTTGGAAGGGCATCACCCAGGTACACAACATATTTGTAAGCATACGGCGTCGCGTTTACACTTTAGCAGCCGACACAAACACATGCGTGCATTCTTCAACGTCCACGATATTGCAGCTAGATCAGAGGAAGAAATTCTGTCAATAGAACGTTCGAACGATTGGGGCCGTGGGGACTTTGTACCTTGAGGAGAGATAAGTACCGTAATTATAACACCCATTCTGGCACTCGAAATTTGGTCTCACCTCTTGCTATGGTAGGACTTGGAGATTCCCAAATCAGTTACTTGGCATAGATATCTCAGAGAAAATAACTGAACTTTCATCGCAGCTCTTCTAATCAGTTATTCCTGTTGTCTTTGTGATCTCTTATTGTTTTCCCTGTCCCTTTGTCCCTGGGATCCTTATTGTCACTTCTTTCATCCAGGATCTGGGAATCTTCATCTAACAAGACAAAGCAGAAGAGTCCTCTCATTTGACATGTCAATCTTCACTGATTCGTTAAATATAGCAGCCCAATCACCATCAACCATCAGTACTCAGCTCTGTGCAGTACATAAGGTAGGTAATAATTGGCTGCAATAAGACGTTCAAACATGACAGCACCAGTGACATATGCTCCAGAACCCCTCCGAGCCCCACAGACCCGTTCCAGGTCTTCCCCTCCAGCGGGTGCAAGGGCGCTAATGTTAGTGCCGGTCCGCACGGACCATTCCAGCATCATCTTTCTGAGGGGCACGTCCGCCTTCCATCTTTCCACCCTCCTGCTTTGCAGAACGACCAGACCCAAACACTTCAGTGCGCCTCACTTGACCTCACCACCTTTTAACTGCGAATCCCCACGAAGAGTCTTTGAGGGAAGACACCTAGCACGACGCCAGGTGTGAGAGACAGCATCAATACCAGCAACAGCAGTTCAAATACCCCATTCCATCATCAGACAATTAAGCCACCCACCATGTCGAGCCCAAAGGAGAGGCGAATCCTCAAGGAGCTGAACGACATCAGGAGCGACCAGGACAACTCTGGCGTCTTCGCCCAGCCGATTCAAGAGAACAACCTATTGCACCTGAAGGGCACCTTCCCCGCGCCCCCCGACACCCCCTACGCTGGCGGCCAGTACACGGTCGACATCAAGATCCCAGACAGCTACCCGTTCAAGTCGCCCATCATCAAGTTCGACACCAAGATCTGGCACCCCAACGTCAGCTCCCAGACTGTAGGCCTTCCCTCCCCCTCCCCTCCATGCTGTCATCAGCTAACAAAGTCCCCCACCAGGGCGCAATCTGCCTCGACACCCTCGGCTCCGGCTGGTCCCCGGTCCAGACGATCAAGACGGCCCTCCTCTCCCTCCGCATGCTCCTCGAGTTCCCGAACCCCAAAGACCCGCAAGACGCCGAGGTCGCCAAGATGATGCTCGAGAACCCCGAGGCCTTCGCGAAGAAGGCGCACGAGTGGGCCGTCCTGCACGCAGGCGCGCCCTCGAAGGACTTTGACACGACAAAGTACCGCCAGGAGGCGGCCGTAACCAAGGGCGACGACTCCCAAAGGTGGGTTTGCTTGATGTTTGAGCAGAGGAGAATATCCGACTGACAGTGGAAAACACAGGTACATGGGCTACAACAAGGACCTCGTGGACCGCTTCGTAAACATGGGCTTCGAAGTCGACGCCGTCGTCGAGGCCTTCGTCTTCGTGGGTATCGACCGCAACGGCGGGGAGGACTACGAGCTGGAGGAGGCGTATATGGGCGATATCACGGCTCGGCTCCTCGGCGAGCAATGATCACCGTGGTCCGAAAATAGCGACATCACTTTACTACGGTACAGAAGGGGATGCATCACCATGAAGGAGAATGGACCATGAGGGAGAGAGAGGGAATCGCATCGAATAGGGAGTCACATCAAACATTATAGAATCAGGGCGGGTCGGGCATCGAACATGGCTGGCGAGCGTACGGGGAAGGGGCCGGATCTTGCTTTTTTTCCACGCACAAGAGGGGAGAGGACTGTGCCGCAACGCATGGACTCGGCATACATATTCTTTTTTTACGAGGCTGCCGGACTTTGTGTCTTCCCAAACCTCATGGCGGCACGACGGCTCGCATTTTCCATTGCATGCGTTTCGAAGGGCGGCCCCGGGGTTGAGGCGGGCATAGGCAAACGGCCGGAGCACTCTTCCTCCGTCAGACATTGGCTAAAAGTCACCAGAGACTTTTGTTTCTTACCTGCATTACGGACATGGCGTTAAAGGAGGAGGGAGTTTACAATTGGAACCGCATGGGGACACTCTTACAGTCGTCTTTTAGTTTCTCGCTTCTCCAAATTTCAAGCTTCAACAGTAGAGCACTCCCATTTCATCGTGTAAAATGCATCAAGCCAATGCGTGGAATGTAGCATCCAGCGCTTCCAAGCTGCAGGTCACTATCCCCGATTACGGATCCCTCACAATGTGAAAGCCAGGCAAGGCTGTCTGAGGTATCTGCCAAATGCCTGCATCCATTGATCCGGCGTTTGCTCGCCCCATATTTCTACCTGCGTCGGGCCGGCCCAGGTGTGATTGTTTCCCCTCGGGGTTCGGAGACGGACGACCCCTGGCACTCCCCTCCACCCCCGGTATGGGGAGTCGTACGACGGGAAGATTTAGATGCGGGAGGGGTGCGGTTTTGTGTAGCAGTCGGCAAGTACGCCATAGCAGCAAAATATATAAGGCACTTCCGCGATACACGGCGCACGCGAGGAACAAAAACCGGGGCATTTCCTCTAATTCTTTCTTGAATTTCCCTCCCTGCCCAGCGTTGCCGAATTCCAGTCTATCGAGTCTTCATGGTGGCGGAAGCGGCGCGGCGGCAAACATCTCGACGACGTACACACATACGACACACGATGCAGGAAAATCGCCTCGTTTCCTCCACGCCCGGATGAGCGCGCCTTGGGCACCGCGTCGGCGAACTGCTACCACGCTTCAAACAGGTCTCTTTAACATGTTACATACACAGGTTCACTTAGTATTTTCCTCCTCTTGTTTACGGTTTCGTCCCACGCAGGAGGTGATGGTTTCATCGAGAGTTCTGAACGTCGAGCGATTTACAGGAGGTCGCGGCGGACGAACTCGTCGTACAGGGCCTTGCCGAGGCCGGCGGGGGAGGGCTCGACGATGACGCCGGCGGACTTGAGGGCGGAAATCTTGGAGTCGGCACCGCCCTTGCCGCCGGAGACGATGGCACCGGCGTGACCCATGCGGCGGCCGGGGGGCGCGGAGATACCGGCGATGAAGGAGACGACGGGCTTGCCGCCGTTGACGGTGTTGTTGGCGCGGAGGAAGTCGGCGGCGTCCTCCTCGGCGGAACCACCGATCTCGCCAATCATGATGATGCCGTCCGTCTCCTCGTCCTTGAGGAAGACGTTGAGGCAGTCGATGAAGTTGGTGCCGGAGAAGGGGTCACCGCCGATGCCGACGACGAGGGACTGGCCGAGGCCGGCCTGGGTGGTCTGGTTGACGGCCTCGTAGGTCAGGGTGCCGGAGCGGGAGACGATACCGATGCGGCCGCGCTTGTGGATGAAGCCGGGCATGATACCGATCTTGCACTGGCCGGGGGCGATGATGCCGGGGCAGTTGGGGCCGACGAGGCGGGTCTTGGATTGCGTCTTGAGCATGTTGGTGATGCGGACCATGTCTGGCGAGGTGAGTGTGAGCTTATCGGAGCTTGCAAGTGGGGGAGCTTCGGTGTATGATGTGAGGCGAGTATCACGACGTACCATGCTGGGGGATACCCTCAGTAATACAGACGACGAGGGGGATCTCGGCGGCGATGGCCTCCTCGATACCGGCGGCGGCCAGAGGGGGGCTGTGTGCTGGGGTGTCAACTCGGGTCTCTTGATATGTTCAAGCAAGCTTCTTTCGCGACGTGATGACGTACGGGACGAAGATGGCAGTGGCAGTAGCGCCAGTCTCCTTGACGGCCTCGCTGACGTTGCCGAAGACGGGGAGACCGAGGTGCTCCTGGCCGGCCTTCTTGGGGTTCGTTCCACCGACGACCTTGGTGCCTACACGGGTGGGGGAGAAAAGATATCAGCCTCGGAGATTGTCTTTATAGACGCGCGGGATGCGCAATTGCGGTTCGGAAATAGCATCGCGTACCGTAGTCGATGGCCTGTTGCGCGTGGAAGCTATCGCGGGGGAGATACGTGTTAGCCAGCTTGCCCACACCATTTCTGCTGCGTCCTGATATCGCCAGCCGGCCGAGCCAGGGGCGGCGGGCGTCGGACAAAGATAACACCACTTACGTTCCCTGCTTGCCGGTGAAGCCCTGGAAGAGGACCTTGGTTTCGCCGTTGATGCGCAGGTTGTCGATGGTCTTGGTGTAAGGGCCGGCGGCGGCGCTGTAGGACCGTCTGGCGGCCTGGTTCAGCAGCTTGCCTGCCGGGCGCATCTGTCTCGAGAAGGACTGCATGCTGGGCGTCTGTGTGGTTGCGTGTGGGAAGTGCGTTTAAAGGAGAAGGAAAGGATGCGCAGCACAAAACGGTGTGGCGCAATTAAAGAGACCGAGTCGGTGGGGGGGCGGTGGGAGGACGGAGGATGGAGGGGAGAGTGGCCGAGGAGAACGAGATGCTGCAAAGTTGGAGTATCTCGGTAAGGTAGGTATCGTAAAAAGAGACAGGACAGGAGGAGCTGCAGCAATTCACGTCACTTTCCAAAAAGAAGGGTCGAACTGGCACCAAGCAAAACTTGAACCGAGCTCTTTCGAGACAATCGGGTCTGCAGCGCGAGCCACGGGGCCTGCAGCCCGGGAAAACCCGCACCAGTCGGTGATACTGGATAATCCGGCCGGGCCAATAACCGGCTGCAGATTGGGGCACGGTCAGCACCCCACTGCTGTCTGACGTGTGGCGGTGCGTTTTCTCTCCAGGTGTGGCTGATTACCCCACCATCCCACGCCAGCGACCTGCATTTGACGGCCCCTCCAAAATTTCCCAAAAGTGAGGGACAGCGACTAGTGGTGACTCCCGCTCTTTGACCTTGCGGAGATTGATATTGCAAACAACAAAACCCACGACGAGCCGGACGAAACGAGACACCCAAAAATTGCAGATCGAAACGAAACTTCCCTCAAACCACCCGCATCTCTGTCCAACATGGCGACCGCGACCGTCACCGTCACCAAGACGCGGACCTCCAACGTCAACCTGCCCCCTGAGAACGAGCGCTTCCTGCGATGCTGCGCAGACATCGCCAACGCCCTGATCGAGGACCATGAGGCCGTCCGCGACCCCAAGAAGCCTCAGAGGGATCTGAACCTCAACTCCCTGCGCAACAAGTTTGCGCGCAAGCACAAGCTCGCCAATATCCCGCCCTTGACAGCCATCATCGCGGCCATTCCCGAGCACTACAAGAAGTACATTCTACCGAAGCTCATTGCGAAGCCAATCCGTGGGTCTCTCTTACTCCTAACGACAAGACTTATACTGACACATCCCAGGCACATCCTCAGGTATCGCAGTCGTCGCCGTCATGTGCAAGCCTCACAGGTGTCCGCACATCGCCTACACCGGCAACATCTGCGTCTACTGCCCAGGCGGCCCCGACTCCGACTTTGAGTACAGCACACAGTCCTACACCGGATACGAGCCGACATCGATGCGCGCCATTCGAGCACGATACGACCCTTTCGAGCAGGCCCGCGGCCGCGTCGACCAGCTCAAGTCCCTCGGCCACTCCGTCGACAAGGTCGAGTACATCATCATGGGCGGCACCTTCATGTCGCTGCCGGTGTCTTACAGAGAAGACTTCATCGCACAGTTGCACAACGCTCTGAGCGGCTACCAGACGTCGAACGTGGACGAGGCCGTGGAGGCCAGCGAGATGAGCAACATCAAGTGCGTCGGCATCACGATCGAGACGAGACCAGACTACTGCTGGCAGCCCCACTTGACTGACATGCTGCGGTACGGATGCACGAGACTGGAGATTGGAGTGCAGTCGCTTTACGAGGACGTCGCGAGAGACACAAATCGTGGCCACACGGTCGCTGCCGTCGCCGAGACGTTCTGTCTCGCCAAGGACGCCGGGTTCAAGGTCGTCAGCCACATGATGCCCGACCTGCCGAACGTGGGCATGGAAAGAGACCTGGACCAATTCAGGGAGTACTTTGAGAGTCCCGCCTTCCGAACAGACGGCCTCAAGATCTACCCGACGCTCGTTATTAGAGGCACAGGTCTCTACGAGCTGTGGCGCACAGGACGTTACCAAAACTACACACCAAACGGGCTCATCGATCTAGTCGCGAGGATATTGGCATTGATCCCGCCATGGACGCGTATCTACCGTGTCCAGCGAGACATTCCCATGCCCCTGGTTACCTCCGGCGTTGAGAACGGCAACCTGCGCGAGTTGGCGCTGGCGAGGATGAAGGACTTTGGCACCACATGTCGAGACGTGAGGACGCGCGAGGTGGGCGTGAACGAGGTGAAGAACAAGATCCGGCCGAATCAGATTGAGCTGGTGCGACGAGACTACACGGCCAACGGCGGTTGGGAGACGTTCCTCGCCTATGAGGACCCGAAGCAGGACATCCTCGTAGCCCTTTTGCGTCTACGCAAGTGCACCGAAAAGTACACCTACCGCGAGGAGCTCGTCGGCCAGCCGACCAGTCTCGTGAGAGAGCTGCACGTATACGGCACGGCGGTGCCGGTGCACGCGCGCGACCCGAAGAAGTTCCAGCACCAGGGATTCGGCACCCTCCTCATGGAGGAGGCGGAGAGGATAGCGAGGGATGAGCATGGTAGTGAGAAGATTAGTGTCATTTCTGGTGTTGGTGTGAGGAGTTACTACGCCAAGCTCGGGTATTGGCTTGACGGGCCGTATATGAGCAAGTGGCTCGACGGCCGACCCGGACCGGACCAGGCTTGAGCGGAGGGTTGATGCATCCAAGACCGAATCTTGGCGGGCATCCGAGGCTGATGTAAACGGAGGACTCTGGCCAGCATCAAGAGAGCCGCCAATGGATATGGCCTTCAGGCGCAGCAGGCCCGTTCATAAGTACGCCGTCTCCGCCGTGGTATGCATAGAGAGGAATTGAACCACACCGGCACCCCTCATTCTGCAGCCTGCGAATTGGGGAGCTTTGCGTACTCCTCCAGCTTCTTCTCAAAGTCGGCCAAGGCTAGCAATACCTCAGGCACCGCAACCTCATCGAGCGCGCGCGTCTCCGTGTCGGTCATGGGACGAAGCACATAGCTAGAAACCTCCTCCCGGTCGCGCCCCTCGGGCCGGCCAATGCCAACCGATATCCTCGCCCACCTCGCGCCCTCGTAGTCTGACTTTTTCAGGTTCCTGTTGATGCTCTTGACGCCATTGTGGCCCCTGTGACTGCTCAACCACTTGCGCAGCCGGACGTCGCCCAGGCCCAGCTCGAGATCGTCGTGGACGACGACGAGATGCAGCAGGTCGACGCGGCCCCCCATGCGGCGCAGCTCGCGCTCGAAGGCGCGCTTGACGAAGCCGCCTGACACGTTCATCTGGGTGGGCGACTGCAGGAGGGAGTAGCGCTCGCCGATGGAGGCCTGGCAGCCCTTGCCGTTGTTGAAGTCGGTTGTCCTGGAGAAGGCGGGCTGGGCGGGGAGGTAGGTCTGAAGGTGCTTGAGGATGCGGTGGCCGGCGGAGTGGAGGGTGTCGGTGTAGGGGCGTGGGTTGCCGAGGGAGATGAGGAGGATGCGGGCGGCGGCTTGTTTCGGGGCCGCCATCGTGTGCGTCGGCTGCGGTGGTGGTGGAGGTTGGTTGTTGTTCGGGTTCGGGTTCGGGGATATTGGAGATTTTTGAGTGATGGTTGGAGCTTGAAGAATTGGAGGTTGCGATTGGAGGTGGGGGCCGGATTGCATAAGGCTGCATAAGGCGAGAGAGAGTGGGTGTTGTGCACAAGGTTTGTGGTTCCTGGATAAGTTATGTAAGCGAGGGATAGCTCAGGTACTGGTGACAACTCCTGCACTTTGAAAAGGAAGCTGACACCATCATCAGGAGCTACTGACAGCACAAAGGAAAAGATGAAACGGTCCTAGATAAATGCCTGGGCAACCAAGAGTCTGGAGTCTGGAAGAAGAAATAGTTTGAATGAGCAATGGGCAAAGGGGATTTGCTTTCTCTGCTATTACATGGGGCTGTAGGACAAGGGACAGTGTGATGAGAAGAAAGTATCTTCCCACGTGCAATCTTCAATCACTGCATGGTCCAGTGAAGTGAAGAGAAAACAGTCAAAACAACCTGAAGTTGGAGACACTTTCAACTGAAGCTGGCTCCTTCATTTGCTGATCTTTGAAGTGATTCACATTCAGCCCTGTTAAGCATAAAAAAGCAGCCCAACCAGAGTGGACCCGGCAAAGCGGCACTTGCGGCCAGCGCTGCGCCACAGCTCGCCCGGCGCTAGGCACACCACAGCACCTGTTGGAGGGGCCAAGGCCGCTAAGGACGTGGCGCAGTCTGAGCCTCTGTCGCTGACGTCGGTTTTCCCGCTTGTTGCTGCCCACTGTTGCACTGCACTGCACTGCACTGTCTTCCATTGTCGTTGGGTTTCCCCAGCCTGAGTTTGAGTGATTCGTCCGCGCAATCAAAACCACCAAAGCCGCCCTTTCCCTTTACCTACACCAAACCTTCAGACGACGAAACAAACTCCCACCCTCTAACGACGCACGCACCTACCACGAAACAGAGATACCTGACGACGACACGCGAGAATTAATACCTCAGCATAACGAGCACGACTCCGAGATTGGGCATTTTGTGTTTTTTAAGGTGGATTTGCCTGAGTGAGAAGGAACCGGCAAGATGTCGTGGGCAGGTACGCATTACGCCACTCGCGAAACCGAACGAAGCCAAACCCCTCCCGTGCAGAGGGACCGCGAAACACACATTGGGCAGGAATGGAGGCTGACGGGCTGCAGGATTCAAGAAGAATGTCAACCGCGCGACGACGCAGGTGATGATGAAGACGGGTTCGTCATCCAACGGCATTTCCCCCCGACGATCGATTCTGACGCTTGGCAGGGCATGTGGAGAAGACGAACGACCGAGACTATGAGGTTGAGGAAAGGTGAGCACGACACACACGCGACACGCCCGACCGAGAGCGAATTGCTGATCGTGCATTGCTTTTTCAACAGACGATTCAGAACCATGGAGGCCGCATCGTTACGGCTGCAGAAGGAGGCGAAGGGATACCTTGATTCGTTGCGAGGTGAGTTGCGTGTTGCCAAGAAGGACGGTGGACAGGTTGGGCTGACGGATTGAAGCCATGACGGCGTCCCAGATGCGCATCGCCGAGACGATAGATGCGTTCTACGGCGACTCGGGCGCCAAGGACGGCGTGAGCAGGAGTTACAAGCAGGCCGTGGAGGATCTCGACGCCGAGACGATCAAGGCGCTCGACGGACCGTACCAGTACGTTCTTGCCGCTCCCCACCC